GGGCACATCCCCAGTGGGAGATGTGCAGGAGGCAGCTGATCGATGTTTCTCTCCCATCGATGTTTCTAACTGTCTATCTCTCTCCCTTCCTCTCTGTAAAAAATCAATAAAATATATTTAAAAAAATAAAAACCACACATTTAAAATCACACCTCTAGTCAGTGCTACAAAGAAGAGAGTGGTGGTGCTCTGCGCATCAAGAGGGAACGTGACCTCAGCAGGTCAGGGCGCCTGCTGAGGGACAAGCAGACGCTCCCAGGCAGACAGCGGGGAGCTGTGTTCCAGGTGGGGGACAGCGTGCTACAAAGGCCACGAGGCAGGAGGGCACGAGGCCCAGGGGAGCTGAGAGGCTGGTGCCTAAAGGAGAGGGTGGGGAAGGACCCAGCCTGTGGGTGGGAGCCCAACATTGGCCAGGAAGGTTTTGTTCTTTTTTTTCCTTAAAGTATTACACAGAGTATTATACATGTCTCCTTCCCCCCCCTTTGACATTCCCCCAGCTTCCCCCACCCCCCAGTGTCTTGTGTCCATTAGTTATTCTCATATGCATGCATACAAATCCTTTGGTTGATCTCCTACCCTCCCCCAACCCTCCCCAGGGTTCCCACTGTAGTTTGACTGTCTGCTCAATGCTGCTCTGCCTCTGTATCCATTTTTGTTCATCAGTCTATAATGGTCCTTATTATCCATAAATGAGTGAGTTCATGTGGTATTTTTCTCAGCTTCCCAGGGGCCATTTCAGTCTCACAGGGGCCATCTCAGCCTCACAGGGACCGTCCCAGCCTCACAGGGGCCGCCTCAACCTCACAGGGGCCGTTTCAACTTCAGCGGGGCCGTTTCAACCTCACCGGGGCCATTGCAAGCTCACCGGGGCTGTCTCAACCTCACCAGGTCTGATTCAACCTCACCAGGGCTGTTTCAACCTCACCGGGGCCATCTCGACCTCACTGGGGCTGATTCAACCTCACCAGAGCTGTCTCAACCTCACCGGGGCCATCTCAGCCTCACCGGGGCCGTCCCAGCCTCACCGTGGCCGTCCCAGCCTCAACGGGGCCATCTCAGCCTCACATGGGCCGTCTCAACCTCACAGGAACCGTCTCAACCTCACATGGGCCGTTTCAACCTCACCGGGGCCATCTCAACCTCACATGGGCCGTCTCAACCTCACCGGGGCCGTCTCGACCTCACCAGTGCTCTCTCAACTTCACCGGGGCTGATTCAACTTCACCGGGGCCGTCTCAGCCTCACCGGGGCCATACCAGCCTCACCGGGGCCGTCCCAGCCTCACCGGGGCTGTCTCAACCTCACCAGGGCCGTCGCAACCTCCCCGGGGCCGTCTCAACCTCCCCAGGGCCGTCTCAACCTCACCGGGGCCGATTCAACCTCACCGGGGCCGTCTCAACCTCACCGGGGCCGTCTCAACCTCACCGGGGCCGTCTCAGCCTCACCGGGGCCGTCTCAGCAACACAAAGTTTGGCATTCTGTCCTTTGTTGGGCGGCTCCTTGGTGGACAAAATCTCCAGGCGTTCCTAGTGGCTGAGTATCTGGTATGCTTGCTTGGATTTCGTTTTCTACAAGTGCACAGACTGTTTGTCTGCCATCTCCCAGCGTCCCATGTGAGACTGGATCTGGTGGACCTGCCTGTGTGTTTGCTGGTACAGCGGTTCCATGTCACCCACCCAGCCAGGTCCGGCTCCGGCTTCTTCTGAACCTGATTCTGCTTCTTGAGTGTGTCCCTTATGTATGCGAGGAGTTGAAATCTGCATTCTGCTGGGCTGGGCTGCAAAAGCGCCAGTGGTTCTCTTTGTGCCACTAGCACAGCTTGGGCGGGGATGTAAATTGAGTAGGGCAGGGTCTCAAGGAGTCACCAGGGCAGAGCAGACAGCAATGGCGTCTCCGCAGCTTCTCGCCTCTCCAGACTCCACAACTCCACGTCCCTGAGTGCCAGTGCGCAGCTCCACGAGAGAGCCACCCTCGCTCTTTGACCCGCTGCAAGGGCGTCCCACCTCTCCCTGTAGGGGTCTGTGACCTCAGAATCCCGCCCCAAACAAGCTCAGTGGATTCAAGAGTTTGTAACCCCTTCCGATTGAAAAAAAAAAAAAAACGCTTCTTGAGTGTGTCCCTTATGGATGTGAGGAGTTGAAATCTGCAGTTTGTTGGGTTAAGCTGTAAAAGCGCCAGTGGTTCTCTTTGTGCCTCTGGCACAGCTTGGGCGGGGATGTAATTTGAGTAGGCGGGGCCTCAGGGAGTCCCCAGGGCAGAGCAAACAGCAATGGCGTCTCTGCAGCTTCTCGCCTCTCTGCAACTCCGCAACTCCACGTCCCCCGAGTGCCGGCGCGCAGCTCCGCGAGAGAGCCACCCTCGCTTTCTGCCCCGCTGCACGGCCGTCCCGCCTCTCCCCGTAGGGGTTTGGGACCTCAGAATCCGTACCTCCGCTCTTGGCGCCTCTGCATATCCTACTCAGTCTCAATGCGCTTCTTTCTTTCCTTCCAGTTGTAGAGCTTCCACTGGGCCAGCTTTCCCATGGTTCTGGATGATAGCTGTTTGTCTTATAGTTGGTAGTTTCAATGTTGTTGTGGGAGGCAGCACACACAGGTCTGTACCTTACGCTGCCATCTTGGTTCTCCCAGGAAGGTTTTGTTCTTATTCTAAAGTCCATGGGAAGCCATTAAAGGGTTTGAAACCATGGAGCAGATTTACGTGTTTTCCAGTTCAGTCTGGCTGCAGGGCTGAAGACAACCCTGAGAGGAGCAGGCACGGGTCCCTCGGGAATCTGTCCGAGTCCAGGCAAGAGGACTTAGGCGTGCCGGGTGCCAGAGAGGAGGGACAGGTTTAAGGGAAGTTTGGGAAGCAATGTCAACAGAGCTTTGTGATAGGCTGGATTTGTGAGGGAGAGCAAGGGAGCCCAGGTTTGTGGCTTGTGCGCTGAGTGGATTCCACTGCCGTTCAGTCAGGGAACAAGGGGCGAGGACACACCGAGACTGACATGCACCTGAACTTCCGGTGGTTGTGTCTAGGGTAGCGATTATCAACTGTGTGCCGCAAGAATTGTTAAAACATGAGATACCTGACTATTTAGTCAGAGCACTGGCCTCTTTTCCCTTAAAAAATGGCAACATCCAGGCCCCAGCCTGGTAGCTCAGCTGGTTAGAGCATCGTCCGTTATGTTAAGGTTGCAGATTCAGTCCCGGGTCAGGGCACATACAAGAACCAACCAGTGAATGCGCAAATAAGTGGAACCACAAATCAGTCTTTCTCTCTCTCTCGCTCTCAAAAAAATAAATAAATAACATGACATCCAACACAATAGCCGTCCAGTGTGAATGAATCAAAATTATACCTATTTTGGTCAGATTAGCAAAAAATACATATTTCTTTAGTGCGCCACAGAATGTTAGCAATTGGTTTGTGTGCCACGAGATGAAAAGCGTAGGAAGTCTGAGCGCAGAGGCTTGCGTCCCCGCCTGCTGCACGGCCTCCAGCCCTCACCACCGGGGCTCTGGCTGCTGAGCCCTGGCCCTGCCGTCACCGCCTCCCCTCGCAGTGCGGTTCGCGCTCAGACCTGTGGCTCAGTGGGCTGCTCCACCGTCCTGAGCCCCGAGGGCCCATGGCCATTGGAAATCCAATTGAAGCTGAAAGTGGTCTCTACTGCTATCCTCACCACCACCACCACCACCACACCACCACACCCCCACCCCCGCCCCGTCGCCCCGCCTCTGTCTCATTGTGTGAACATTGACCATGTCCCCTGGTCTTTATTTCACAAGAACTACCATCAAGGGGGCTGCCTTTGCTAGACTTGCAACTGAATTTTTTTCCCTTTCACACAAATTTTCACCATTTCTATAAAAAAGCTCTCGTGGGGGGATAGAGAAACCCCTCCCAGACGCTATGAAAATTATAAGGGGCTATGTTGGCCTCCCACCAAAAACCTCCCCTGGGGGGCCCGCGCCCCCTTTGCCCGCTAAATCCCAAAGGTGGTTTTTTCCCCGCGGGACTTTTCCAGACCTCTGGGGGGGGGGGGGGGGGGCTGGAAATATGGGCCAAAAAAAGAAAAGAACGGGTTCTATTTTTTATTACCCTTCAGCTGAAAATTTTACATTTCCCTCCCAAGTGGGGGGATAGGAGCAAAACCCCGGAATGGGCTCTTTCACTAACAGACCCCACCCATTTGCCCCTTCCCCCCACAAAAAATTTCAGGTCCCCGATTTCTGTTTGAACATGTCAGTACTTATTACAACTGCTGCTAGATGTTATTAAATATATTTAAAAGGACTGGGCATAGCATAATTTTTAACATTTTTACAAACACTGTATCATCCTATACACACCCCACTGTAAACCCAGAGGCCCCTCCCTGCTGCCAGAGCCGCGGGTCAAACGAGGTCCAGACGCAGTCCCCCCCCCCCCCCCCGCCGCCCCGGCAGAGCTCTTGCTGGAGTGCTGAGGCTCAGACAGTCCTGGGTCCCAGCAGCAGGGCCTGGCTTATGGACACGAAGCACTGTGCTGGGCAAGGAGCACAGCAGGGAAGGGAATAGGGAGGAGGGAAAAGGAGGAAGAAACGGAGCAGTAGGAGATTTTACCAAAACCCCAAGAAACCTACTCATAGCTGTGGAAAACTCAACCTTTATTGTTACCTGCCTAGTGCAGGGGATTAAAATTACACTGAGCTTGATCCATATATTAGTGTAAAAATCTGTGTCTCTTCCGCCAAAAATGTACAAACCCCAAGTGATCATAGAAAAACCAATGTGGCAGCTGCGACAGAGATGCTGACCCCAGGGCCACGGGCGTTTTCCCCTGTCCCCTAATTCCAATATTTATTCCACAGAAACATCGGCTTAGAGGAGTTCTAGCTCTAACGGGCAGGAGAGGTGGGCGTGACTGGGGCCGGGCAGGGTCACCCAGGTCCAGTGTTTCTGCGGATGGGCGGGAGGGGAGCCAAGCGGAGGACAATTCCTTTTGCGCCCTCCTCACCTCCCAGGTCCTCAGCCAGTGGGGTCCAGTGTGTGACGGAGAGAGAGGCTGTGGGCCACACCTTCCCTCCAAGAACCAGTGTTGTCCAGGGGCCCAGGGGCTCCAGAGGCCAAGTCCAGTGTCTGCCCTGTGTCTGCCCCAGGCCTCCCCAAGGGACGGCCAGAAGAGGCCTGAGAGGGTCTGGCCACAGGCCCGCTGGGTGGGCGGGGGGGGGCTGCTAGGAGGGGAGCAGCGAGGGGTCACACTGCCTCTCAGAGGTAAAGGGCAGGGGGCGGGGGCCATGGGCTCCTCTGGTTGGCGCCTGGCTCCCCTGAGCCCCCTGAGGGAGGCGGCTGGGCGTCAGGATTCACACTGTGTTGAGTGCATCTTCTGCCAGGAACCGGTGCAGCTGGGAAAAGGGCGGCCGCTGCTCCGGCTCCCGGCTCCAGCACCGAAGCATCAGCTCATACACGCCCAGGGGGCAGGCAGGTGGCCGGGACAGGTACACCTACATTGTGGGAGCAGGTGGAGGAAGGCCAGGGACAGATGTGCCTTAGTTTCCCTGACGGCAGGCCCCGCCCGCCCCGCCCCACCCCGCCCCGCCGGGGCCTGCTCTCACCTGGCGGCCCTGGTCCCGGAAGAACTCCCCTGCGTTCTCGATGACCTGCTCGTCTGTCAGCTGCCCGAAGGGCTGGGCCCGGCAGAGCATCAGCACCTCCCACAGGGTCACCCCGAAGGCCCACACGTCGCTGGCCGTGGTGAACTTCCCCTGGTGCACGGATGAGGCATCAGGCAGCAGACCTCCCTTCCCCTCGGCCCTTCCCAGGCCCGGGGCCACTCCCCACCGGGCTCTCCCAAGGAGCTGCCCCTCTCGGCCTTGCTTCTCCGGCTCGGCTCGACCTCTCCCTCCGCTCTTCTACCCTCCTGCCCCCATTTTCTGGTCTCGACTAACTCCCAACTCATCCTCTTCTAGCTCTAGCCCCCCGCCTCCTATCACTTGGGCTCTCTTGCTCTCTGCCACCCTGACTCCATCTGTCGGGCCCACTCCTGTCTCCTGGGCCCTCCCCATCACGCCCTCCCTCCCTCCTCCGTGCTTGCTCCAGCCCCTGCGCCACACCTCACTTTATAGATGAGCTCGGGTGGCAGCGGAGCGCCCGCCGCCCCTGCAGGCATCTCACCATGAGGATGCACTCCCAGGCCATCCAGCGGATGGGCAGCACTGCCCGGCCCTGCACCCGGTAGTAGTCCCCGGCGTAGAGGTTCCTGCTCATGCCGAAGTCGGCGATTTTGATGGTGAAATTTTCCCCAACCAGGCAGTTCCTTGTGGCCAGGTCCCGGTGCACAAAGTTGAGTGTGGCCAGGTAGCGCATGCCCGAGGCGATCTGGGTTGCCACGTGCAACAGCATCGGGTAGCTGAGTGGGGGGCACGGACAGAGGGTCACTGGGTAGCCCCAGCGCTCCCCCCTCACAGATCCCCAGGAGGAAGGGCAGCCACAATGCCAAGATGGAAGTACCGGGGGAGGCTGTGGTAAGTGCCCGCCCAACCCTTCTCTGGTCATCGGACCCCAGGGAGCCGCTGCTTTTATTATGCTCCGCGACCTAGACCTAGCCTCGGGCAGTGAGGGTGAAGAGGGCACAGGGAAACTCCGCCAGGTCCAAGTCCCTTCCGCCCCTGCGGCAGGTAGGCCCAGCCTTCCTGCCCCTCGTGGTCCTCATCCCAGGCCCCCCTGCAGCCCGTGCGCCCCACCCAGTGCTCTCTGCCCGCAGCCTGGCGCTCTCAGGGCAGGGCCTGCCTGGGCAGCTGCTGACCTGATAGTGGGCCCCTGGGCGGGCTCCCCACCCTCAGGGGCCCCCGCGGCCGCCTTGTCCTCCAGCTGGTGCGCACTAAGGAACTGGTTCAGGTCGCCGTTCTCCATGTAGTCGGTGATCATGCAGAGAGGGTCGTCCTGCACGCACACGCCCAGCAGCCGGATGATGTTTGGGTCCTTCAGCCTCGCCATGATCTTCACCTCCTTCAGGAAGTCGTTCCTGGAGCGGCGGGGGAGGCGGCGAGGGCATGTGGGCTGACCTGCACATGCATAGCCCCTGCTCCACGGGCCAGCTGGCTCACGGGGGACGTGGGCACCTTCCCCAGACACCCCTTCAGCTGTCTCTACCACATTTCTCTCTAGATCACTCTCTGTGGCCTCACCTCCACTCCCAGATGCCATCCTGGTGCTCACCTGGCATTCTTGGTGGCATCCGGCCGCAGGATCCTGGACGGCTACAGCAAGGGGGTGCCCCTTGCGCACACTAAGGGGGAAATCGAGACTGACCAGCTCCTGAGGGCGCTCCACCTCGCACAGGTGCACCTGCAGAAA